ATTAATATCCTTAGAGGTTATAGGACCTTTTGGCATCCAAATGGGAAAGTGCACTGGAAAGTAGTGTTGAAAGGAGGTATGAAAAGCCCTTTTGAATAACTGATTCTGCCCAGAACTGCTTACTGGTAGTAATTATACTTTCAGCAAGTGTGATAAGTAAATATGAGTCTTATTGCTGATCTCTGTATTTCATTGCTAGGATTTTTGTTGAAATGCTGAAATAAGTTATTCCTAATAATGCCTTCTCTGCTGGGGCAGCACATGTGCTGTGACACACTAAACACCAGCTCCCAGGGTTGTCTGCTGGGAGCCCGTATGACCACATTTGGGGCTACAGTGCAAAAATTAAGGAAAATTAAGGCTTTATATCTCGGTATAAAATGGAAAGCAAACCTGTATATTCACTTGAAATCTGTGTGTTTGATTCAACATTTGTTTGAATGCCTGGGGAGGCAAATGAAAAGCCACAACTGCTGCAAGGGCATTCTTCCCATGGTTCTAATGACATAAGAAGTCAAAGGAAACAAACCTGGAAGTTGCATGAAAAAATTGTTCTTATAAAATGCAATGTTAGCGTAGTACTCGTGTTAGAGCATTGCTGCTGTTGGGATCGTTCAGAAGAGGTGAGCAAGTTGAGGCCCTGGTGTGCGAGGCAGGGAGTGAGCGCATATGAAATGCAAGTTGCTCTCTCCAAGCAGCCTAAAAATCTCCTGGAGCAAGAGTGCCTTTGCTTTCGTGTAGTCAGCAGAAAAATTGCAATGTGTCATCATTAATGAGTCTGGAGCATGTTTCAGCTGTGGAATTGCTGCACAGCGACAAGGCTTGCCTTCTACTGCCTCTCATACCATATGCTCCCGTAATTAGTGCAGGCAAAAAGTAATGATAGTGCAGAGGGAAAGATGAAACATGATGAGCTGCAGCTCAGTCTTAAAAGCTCTATGTTATGGCATCTCTACATAAAACATCTGAAATACAAAGTAGCTTTAAACCAGATATTAACTGTTACACTTGTGTATTGGGAGGTACTTTAGTCTTTGTTTTAAAACTACCATTATTTATGGAGGTGCCTGAATTTATGCTCTAATTGCTACACTGGTCTCTCCTAAATACCTGTGACTGTTTTTTTTCAAGGGTAGTCGCTCTTGATTATTCAGATGGACTTAATGTAATGAGATTAAATTCACATTGGCTTGACTTAAAGGGTGCATAACGTCTGTGTTTAGAGAATTCTTCATTCAGAGACAAAGGGGAATGTTCATGCTGAGCTCTTAAGCATGGAAAATATGGAGTTACCTTCCCCACTGATCATTTTACTTTACTTGAATAGTTCATGAAAAGCACAGAAAAAAACAGAGACTGCCATTATATGATATAGTCCCAGCAGGAGCAAGACAGATACGGTAACTTCAATATGTTACCTAATTGTATGTAGGCGAACTGCTGAGGATTCAGAAATGTGGATAATGAGCCAAAATGTGAAAGTCTTCATTCAAAATACAAATGTACATCTCTGTTTTTAAGATAAAATAGTGGGCATTTTCACTGGTGTCAGTGAGACCAGCATCCATAAAAGCTGCAAATGTGATTTGGAAATATAATGTGCAAATAAGCTTTGTTATGTTTCTGATACTGACTCCTGCCAGCCAAATTGAACAGACTGAAATACTATGAAAATGATTACTATCAATATTTTGATGCTTCCAGTTTCACTTAGCACCAGTAAACATATATGCAGATGCACATATATATGTGTGTTTACAGGACATACAGAATTTTGAGTCATCCAGGTTTAACTTATTTTTAAAAATATTAAGGATTTAAGGAGCTATAGAGTCTGAAAATTCCCCTAAGCCTACATCCTTAAAAAGCTATTCAAGTTGTTATTTTCCTTTCAGTCCATGGAGGTACTTGTGACATCCCTCCTTGCTGTACCTTCCAAGTCCCCTTGGAATTGTTGATAGCTTTTATCTTTGTAACAACTTCTCAAGATAAAGGAGCATCCTTACCCTTATGAAACTATGAACTGCGGGCACAGAGCCAGGACACCAAGGCCAATTCTCCAAGTCCTAATTGAGATGGACCATCCCTTTCCTCTTGCACCCTGGAGTCATCTCACTGGCTGTGGTCTCCTCCACCCTTGTACCCAGTATCGCAGCAAAGCCTTGCTGCAGAACGAGAAGGATATTCTGTGGGCTCTTTGCTACTTTCTCACTCCTTTTTTGCTTTCAAAACAGTTGCAACTCGTTGGTCATGTTGTTTTTGTGCAATCCAACTTGAACTGTTTCTAGGTGCGTGAGGCTAAAAAGCTGATGTCCCAACAAACCTATCTAGACCAGTCACCTTAACTCCTGGTGGCACCATAGAAAGGGACAGTGCATCCAATTGGCATGGATGTGTCGTGCAGCACAGACTTGGCACTGCTTTTCCCTGTGGCGATGGCACTCCGTATGTTCCAAATGCTCCATTTTGCTTTCCTTCTCTCTCTGTTCAAGCATGAGAGCCAAGACCCCTTGACTCCATGTGGGAGAAGCCTGGAAGCTGCCAAGCTTGGGAAGCCCCTGCCAAAAGCAGCACCTGAACCTCTGCCTGGCTGCTCTCCTGTGACCTCTTGGCTACCCACTGTTGGCCCCAAAAGCCTTTCTATGGCCAGTACAAAGCAGTGGCACTGGTCACACTTCTGTGTCCATGATACAGACCTGTGTAACAACCTTCTGTGCTAATCAGGCTGCCAGCCACAGGCACCATCCCTGGCTTCCAGCCAGCCCCGGGAGCCGGTCTTTGAGTTAGTTTCAAAGATGCCACTTAGAAATTTCAAAATATTTTCAAATATTTGCTATTTAATTTTAGTGCTCCATTAAATAGATCAAATTCAGATATTATTTTGCATTCTCTTTTCCTGCATCTGTCCTCTCTGCATCCTTTTTTAGATGTATGTATTAAGGTGTATGTTTTGCTGTATAAGGTGTATGTTTTGCAGACGACGTATTAATGCACTTATGGCAGAGTGAGTGTATATATAGGCACCTAAATTCATGTTTAACCACCTAAATAAATGCTCTGATTTTCAAAACACCTGCGCAATCAGCAGATCCCACTAAGTCAAAAGAGGAAAGCAAAGCTTTGTATTCTGTACCAGTATGACTTCTTTCATAGCACTTTTCTTAATGAACCTATTCTAAACCTTTTGCTAGCAGAACCCTCAAAAAAAAAAAAGGAACAGAGAACAATCATTTTAACTGTACTGCAATATACTCTCACAATAAATAAAAAATGTGGTGAGAAAGACAAAATACTGCTTTTACAATATCCTGTGCCAAATCACAGGTTATACAATTCAGTTTTTTATTTGCACAGCCAACAGTGCTTTGTAGAGCAATCAGGGAAGATAATACAATTCATTTTAAATTCTCATTACTTTAAAAGTGTTGAATCTTCTTAAATTGGTTTGGGGTTAATTGAGAATTTGCTGCCTTACAATAGACTAGGAATTGTTGAGGCTGCCCTTGTTTCATATTTTTTGTGCATACCTTTGTTGCAAAGTTATAAAAACAACAATAAAAAAGAAACAAAGAAGTGAAATGAAATAATGATCTGCATTGTTACTACTCTAACACTCATTTTTAGGGGAGGTAAAGCTCATGTATTGATCAATATTTAAATGGTTTGGAAGTGGAAGTACATGCTGGGTTGAGGCAATATATCAGTCATTGTGCATTGGCTTTCGCCTCTCCTTTTGTGCACATTCCCAAAGGGATCACTTCTGCCCTGTGGGAGAATGCTGAATCCATTCTAATCTTTCTGAAGTTACAGGAAAAATGTCATTGTGGTTTAATGACCCCTTCTCATAGCATTATTATTATTATAGTTTTGAAATACCTGTGTTACTGTTACCTGTTGGTTGGGAGGTCCAAGCCAGGGACCAGGGGCTCTGCGCAGCCAGACGGGACAGCTGAGCATCTCCCCTGGCTGACAGTCAAGCTATGGGCCTTTTACTATTTGTTAGAGGCATCACAGCTTATTTTTACTCCTTCTAAAGGACACAAGAGCCAAAGCAAGGGCCTTTTTATGCACTTGCCATCTTATTTCATTTTGCCCACCTTTTTTTTCCCCCTCTAACAAATCTGTTGCTTTTGATTATTCCCTCAGGAAATAGTTGCGCCAATAAATTATTTTTGGCAGCGTTATAACATAGCACACTTTTTAAATGAATATCACTGAGAGGCACTGATTTGGCACATGCGCCACATTAAACAGTAGCAGGTTTTCTGTCAGTCACTTGTAATTCAAGATTTCTATGGAAAATCTCACAGCTGTTTATGGGCAGTAGCAATCCACTGCAAAGAAGATAAACAGCTTATTATAGTAGCTATTGATTATATGATTGAAATTTTGGGTTGAGATATTAACACATTTCACTGGAGAGAGAACTTGTGCCACTTAATTCAGCCCTGTGTATTATTTAATATATTTAGCTATGAATCAGGCCCTAATCATGGCCATTCATATGGTCAGTTACTTCAGTCAAGTGGAGCAATTCTTAGTTCACAAACTAAGAGATTTCCGCAAATATTTTCTGTATTATTACAAAGAAAGCACAAAAGTGAATTGTGTATGTGAGGCTGTTCCTGTAGATTGTAGATACCTGCCCATGGGTGGTTTTGTGGTGGTATGTAAAAGTGGCGGTGGTATGTAAAAGTCAGATCTTCTGGATTGTAACATATCAAAGATTGACACTGAGAAACAGCTTCTTTTTGATTTTTTAAATATGTGTTTCTGTGCTAGACTTTAGGGCATATATGTCCAAAGGTATTAGCTAATACTTCTCTATGTTTCTCCATCTATGAAATGAGCCTAAGGGTAATGACCTAACGCAAAGGGAAGGCACAAGCTTTATGCTTTTTGCACCCCATGAAAGCCACGGAGGACAAAGACATACGCTCCTGTAGTAATGTAATCATGACACGTCTAGAAGTGCAATCTCCTTTTGTCTTCTAATTTAGGTATTCAGTTTTCAAGGATCCCGCGGGCTGGCTAGAAATCAACCCTACCAACGGTACCATCGGCACCACCGCCGTGCTGGATCGGGAGTCTCCTTACGTGCACAACAACATATACACTGCTCAGTTCCTGGCCATCGACAGTGGTGAGTAGCTATTATTGACCAAACCCGTTACCTTGAAAGTATTTATTATTTTTTCTCGGCTTGAAGGTTCCCATTCATTCAAACAAGTGCCAAGTTAAGGTTAGAAAGAATTGTGACTAACAGAAAATAGAGGAATAAACTTAAACAAAGAGCAGCTTTGGTTTAAGGCCAAGTCATGCATATTCATTCCTGCACTGAGATCTGAGATGTAAGTAGTGTATGAACATTCGTGCAAAATAATAACTCATCTTTATCAGAGTTAATTTCCTCATAATATTTGAGCAGTTCTTAAGCCTAAGGCACCTAAATACCAATAGCAGCTCATCCTGATATGCTGAATTGCATCTTATTCAACATTCAGTGACAGTGACAAGAAAAATATAGACAATTGCTAGAATGCAATATTTTTCACATATTATGTGGATTAAAGTCCGTTCTGTCAAATATAATCTGAATTAAACTAGCTAGCAAAAATTCAGTATAAGTAGTATCTTCTGTAGCAGAGAAAAAAGAAACAGAGAAAATCCTGATCATTCCTGCAAATCTCCAGAGCTAAAGCCACTTTTTTTTTTTTTCCTTTAATATAACAACCAATATGCTAACACTTTTTCATGGCTGCAGCTGTTTTAGTCCTGGTGATGAATTGTAAAAGGTCCTTTTTAGGAGGACAGTTTTACATTTTTGTAACTACATGACTCAGGAAGCATTTGCAGGCCTTAACAGAAAAAAAACCCAAATATCTATGTAGATAGAAAAGATTTTTTTTTCTGCTGAGGTGATGATTTATTTATATATTCATATATATTCTTTATCAGGAAATTTTCAAAGAAAAATGAAGCGCCAAACTTATTTCTGTCTTTCATTTGCTATTGGATAAAGATTTTTTTAAATGCATCTCAAAATGGAGTCCCCCAGGAACCTAATATTATAGTGAATATATAAAAAGTCAGGATAATATTACTGAGGGACCGGTTATCAAAAGTCAGTATGTTTTAAAGGCAGACTCATGTCCTGCCATGCTGTCAAAGAGAAAGGAAGGAGCAAAAATTTGAATATTTCCAGCTGCAGAAAGCAACCTAAATGAAAGCAGACTTTTCACTGCTTGCTTGTGTGGATTATTCTCTTGCTGTCCGTGCAGTAACACTCATTACTGACATTTATTCGAAATAAGAGAATAAATAAGTGAATAGAATAGAATAGAATAGAATAGAATAGAATAGAATAGAATAGAATAGAATAGAATAGAAAGATAAGTAAGTAAGTAAGTGTCTCCTCACCAGGAGCTAGGTGACTTCGCTTAATTCCCAGATTTTTTCTGCGCTGGGAAAACGAGAGGAGAGGAGGGTGTCTGGGCACTGACCAGCAGCTCCACAGAAGAGCTTTCATCTGGGTCAGAGACAACAAATTCAAGCAGGATACAGTCAGCATCCAATTTATTTCAGTTCTGTGGCACTGTTAGTATGGCAGCTAATGCCCTCAGATGTTATTGACTTTTCCGAATGCAGTAATTAGAAACCACACGTGTGCATTTAGTAGTGGCATGTTAGGTGCTGATTATGATCCGTTGTGAGCCTTGCACGACTTCACCACCAGTGGAAACAGCAGTAAACTGTGAGCAACAGGCCTCAAATAGCTGATATTAATTGCATAAAGGTGCAATGTGGAGTTTGTGGAATGTGACCTAACCCTGGGGTTGCGACCCCCTCGAAGTTCCCATTCCAGCTGATTTCCAGGTCACTGCTGATGCTGACCTGCAAAGCTGGTGCCCACTTGATTTTTCTAGCCAACATTTCCTCATGTCCACCGTGGGAAGGAATATTACATTAGATGACAAGAAAAGCTGTGGTAGAATAATATGAAATGAATGCAGAATTCTTTCAGGATGTTAAAAGGAGGTTGTGTTACCTTCAGAATGAAAAGTGAGCGTGAACGTAACGACATGCATTCGTTTGCAAGCAGCATGGGGCACAAACTGCTCAGTAAAAGCCACATTTTTCTTCAGGTTACTAAGCGTAGACTATTTAACATCAGTGAATATGGGTGAGATTTTTATGTGATAAGGTTGCCTTTGGCAGGATTAAGAATTGCCAAATGAGGTTAGATGGTAAGCTGAAAATTTACTGGCATTTCCAATAGAGCAAGTCATTTACTTGGGCTAATAGACTTGGGGCAAAGAGAGGAGAAGGGAAGAAAAAAACATAATAAATCAGAGACTCTGTTTTTTTCAGAAGCATTTAGTGTGAGCCATTTCTTTCACCACTGTGTATGGCTGCTGGCAACGAAATGGGAGCAAAACGTATATTTGTTTTTCATTAAATGCAGATTTTGCTTTTCTCTAATGCAAGCGCTTTATTTACAGCACATTATGGTCTTTTTTGCCTCCCTCCGTATCTAACACAGCCCAATTATCTCGCCTCGCCTCGGAGCTGAATCTGAGCTGCCCTGGCCCCTGCGCCAGCAAAGTCTTTGCTTTTCTAATGGGGGGAATAAGGAATATTTGGGGCAATTTCCAGGGCACAGGGCAGTGCTGTGCAAAGGTCCCCGGGGCAGCTCTGTCCTGCCGGAGCTCCATGCTGGTGCCTGGATAGTTTCTCGAAG